GCTTGTAACCACAAAACGGTTTCCTTTGTGCTGCTCACTAGTCTTCGTTAACAAAATAAAAAATTTTAAAAAATTAAATCAAATTAGAAAAATTATAAAATAATAATAAAAGAGAGAGTAGCATTTTAAAGGTAATTGTTTTTTGCATGAGGAAAAAGAAAGCGACTACGGTTGTTGTTCAGTCAAAAAAGTACTAAAACGCAAGTGATGAATTTTAATCTTTAGCTCTGTTTTATGCTACCTTTTCTTTTACTTTTTCCTGTAATGCTATGCACATCATTAAGAGTCTATTGCATTTAGGACTTACAGAGGAGGGCGTAAGGGTTTGCGGTATTGCGGTATTGGGTCATTTTTGGTGCGGTGTTGCGGTAATTTTTATTTCAAAGTACGGTATTGCGGTTTTCAGAGTCCAAGCGGTTTGCGGTAAGTTTAAATTTTATGCCGCGGTAGTCGGTGAAAAAATCGTTGTGTCGCGGTGATCTGCTTCTTTTTCATGACAAGAGGATACAAATCCTAAAAGGTCTCCCTGGCTAGCCTGCGTGACCTGTGTGCACAGTCGGGGATTGTATTGCGCAAACAGTGCAGACAAATCGTATGGCTTCTAATTTCAGTTAATACTTGATATGATTAACGACATTAACTTTTTCATCCAATGATACGTAAACATGTCGCATTATTTATGACTTCATGGACCTTGTGGGTATAGTCAGCTTGGTTAACCTCCTTTATACCAATCTTACCACCACTTTCGTGCCAGTCGCCAAACAATAGAGAGCGATCCAGAGGGTCAACTAAGTGATCAGTCAGATATTCCAGCAAATAGTGAGGTCAGTGAGATCGTTATAAATTGCGTAGTGTCGAAAGATAATCTATAAAGATGGTGTGGTCTAAAAATTACTACTTGTCCTTCTCGTTGTGCATGCAGGAATATAGAATGTACTAGTATTCGTGTGTGCTTACCCTTCGTAGCATTGTAGCCCGGGGGTGGTGGTGGTGAGGGGGGGGGGAACTTCCTGGTAAGAGGCTAATGAGGATGTGCTGCTGGATGGGGTCGCATTTTCAGAGAGTTTTTTTAGAATGGGGTCGCACATTTTCTGCTTTTTTGGGGTAAGACAGTTCTTCATATTTACGGTTAGCAAAGGTACCAGAATGTTTGTATTGTAGATGAAAAGTAAAGGGTTCTTCATTCAATCTAAAACAAGGTCAATTCATAAAAATAGAAAGTGACGAAGTTGGGATCGAGAAAATAAAATATTTGTTCAAATGACTAAGATGGGGTCTATAATTGGCCACAGAATAGACTGTAATCGGGTAGGGGCTCTGAGAGGCCAGCGGCACATACCAACCAAATATTAACCCAAGTACCCCCGTCATGGCATTTTTACATGGTTTTGTCGGCAGCACCACTGTGAGCGGCGAAGCAGCTCCCGCCCCAATCTCCTCGCCCGCGCCCGCCTTATTTCGACTTATTATTTAGCGTGCCTAACCAAAACCGCCATGCTACGCAGGCTAGTGTGTACTGTGTGCCCTTCGAATCCAAAAGGCAGCCCGGGTCGACGTTTTGAAACCCTCAACACAGAACCGAGTTAATTGTGAATCTGAAACAACCTTATAAGAGTCAACTGTTTTCCGTCCGTTTATGATCCAGGTCAGTAATATATAAAGTGATTCTAGAAAACTCCTGTTGCATCATTTAGTAAACGTATACATGTAGTAAACAAAGCTAAACGAGTGCGATGATCTTATGTTTATCGTACGCTTGACATCGACGCACCTTGATTTGGAAACTCTGACATAAAAGTATTATTTCTATTTCAAAGGAAGATTTGTAGTATTGACAACGTCAACTTTTTCCCATTTGTAACTGGCATGCGGTTTCGGTATTTGGCTAAATTTTGATGCGGTATTGCGGTATTCTCGCGCTACCACGTGCGGTATTGCGGTATTCGTACCCCCCTTACGCTCCCCTCCTTACATTTAAGATCGTTTATTGCATTTAGGACTTCTATAGCTTTCTACGATCTACCTTTCGCTTCTACTCTTCTTTCAGAGCATCCTGTTATATATAAATTATATTCATACATGCTCGAGTTTGCTATCTTTCATATTATTTGCCGATGATACTAATCTCTTTATTTCTGGAAAAAAAACTTGAAACCCCTGTAAATAGGGAAATGAAACGTGTACAAGTATGGCTTAACCTTCTGACTTGGTTATTTCACTTTACATTCCTTACGTTTCAAATTTCAGTCCGACCTCCGACTTCCGATCCGCGACTTCTGACTTCTGACTTTCGACTTCCAACTTCCAACTTCGGACTTCAGTCTTTTCACCACTTTCCGCTTCTCAGCTCAAAATGGGCTCGTTTCCTGCTGCTCGAGTTTTCTGCTCGAGCGCAGGCATTGATTTTCTTGGAAATCGAGCCAATCATGACGGCTGACTTGACACATCCTGCTATCGAAATATATTGAACATCAGGCGAATCGTCAGCATACCAAATACTACCATGTGCAGCCTCACAGTAACAACTCCCCTTATTGAAAGACTCAGGTCAGCAATTGAGTTTCCTTGGTCACGTGCTCCGCCTACCTGACAATAAACCCGTCAGAGAATTTGTAATGTATCGGTTCCAACTCAGGGGAGGAGGAAACCCGAAAGACAGCGAACCTTGTTCACCAGTTGTATATTTATTGTCTTCTGGGGGATCCTGATATCCTGTTAAATGACAATCAGCTGTTGCAAATGGCTCAAGACCGCCATCCATGGAGGAAAAACTTGTGGTCGACTGCTCCTCAGCCGAAGGATGATGATGATGAACTTCAAAGTAAAAACTTCAAGGGGTGACAGGCCACACGATCTCTATTGGTGTTAAACCTTAAAAACCCTTCTACATATTGCTCTAACAAGAATATCTCTTTGACAAATGCTATTCTGTCAATTACAATTCTACCAACTCGGGTGATTTTGGGCATTCGGCGTGGAAGACACACACATGGAGGACGACGAGCTGAAGGTATATTTGAAGTGAACCTTGCATGTATTGATTTATTGTACACAGCTACACATTGAACGGTCACTTTTGTTGTTCAGTGACATGCACATTCGCCAGAAGTTTCAGTGAACATCCGCACAGCTAAAGTCGTCGTGTTGTACTTATTCACGGTCACGTGTATTGAAATTTGATGCGTGAAGTCTCTCGGTCGGATAAAGAGTTCAAGATTGCGATTATTTTTCGACGACGTTCCAGAGAAGATAGCCTTTTCAGGCCTTCTACTATCTGAACGCCTGGAACAGGCTACAGAAAAGAAAGGAATGGATTTGTCAAAGCAGATGTCAAGTAAGTGATCGTCTACATTTTTTTGCGGAATATTTTGACTTAAACCCGTACCCTTCCGCGACTATCGTTTATGCTCGGTCTGCATTTTGCACCAGGCCTGCGTTTTACTCTCCGTCTGCAGTCTGCATTTTACACTCAGTCTGCATTTTACCCCTGGTCCGCAGTCTGCGTTTTACACTGACCGCAAACTTATCCTACGAACCTGTCACAAAATGAACGTTACAACATTCACTGTTTTGATGTTATGCTAATAGCCTCCGAAAAACTATATCGAAACACCTTATAATGTCTCAATTGAGCTTGGCACGGCAGTAGCACAACGTTTGAAACAGGCCTTTGGGGATAGGACAGGGGATTTATTGCTTAGACTAAGGCCCTGTTAACAAGAAGGGAGGGTAACCCTGGTGCTAGGGTTACCCTAGCAAGAGGCTTTCCCTAGCTCTCACATATTTCTTCTTTTTTTACACGACGTGTTTACAAGGCAGGTAGGGTAACCCAACCTGAGTGCAAGGGTTACCCTAGCAAGAGGGTTATCGTACCTGCCTTGTAAACGCTCTGCAGGGGATAACTCGCAAGGGCGCGGCGTAGCCGGCTTTTCGACTAGTTGTAGGCCTGGCTGACTTTCATTTCCACGATCCGCATACCTTGAAAATTGCACGCATGATTAGTACTCACTGACCTTACCAATACTTTGAGCTCTTAAGCTTTTTAGCTCACCCTGACAACGCATAATTCCTTACAAGCGGTAGAGTGATCAAACCAAAACTGTGTAGGCCCGGGCCTACAGGTCTATGGGCTGGCTACGCCCCTGACTCGCCTACCTGGGAAAACTTTCCTCCGTCATGCGTGACCAGTAATCTTGACAATTTGAACAGAATTATCCTATTTCTGAGCTAAATTATAAACATCAGAACAATATAAGGTATTCTCTGTATACGATGATAATATTTTCCCGTTTTTTTCGTGAATTTAATGTGTTTTCCATAGGGAACTTCAAGTTTTATTTCAAATCTTGGACGTTACAAAGAATATCACGTATGACGAAACACGTCAGTAAAGCTGGTAAAAGTTGGCCCGGGTGATAGGGTAACCCTACCTATGAAATTTGCTCGTAAACCAGAGCTAACTTTAAACGCGCTCGCTACATTAACCCTAGCCAGGAGCCGCGGTAACCCACTCATCTTGTAACAGGCCCTAACACAAGCGCTGTAAATCAATGGGAAAACGGTAAAACTCCTGTGCCTTACCAGAGGGAGGTAGATAGTGAAAAGTTTCTAAACGACATGAGATTACCGTTAAAGGTAATATTTAATAAACTAGAGCTGCATGTTTAGTCCGTTTGGAGAGAAAAATAAACCTACCGGCATCAAAACTAGCCTACGGGCCTGTAAAGAGAGTGCATTTTAAAAATATATCCAGTTTTGATAGTTTTTTGGGCGGTATACTATTTACCACTCCTTTGGTAGAAGTATCATGACACTCACTGTGTCTTCCGAATGTTGGTTTGCTGTTCAATCGCTTTATGTTACTGTGATTTATAACGTTGGGAGAGGTAAAAGTCCGAAGTCAGAAGTCGGAAGTCGGAAGTTGGAAGGCGGAAGTCGGAAGAGCCTCCTCGGCTTTTGTAGTACTTGATGCCGGAAGTAGAGAAATTCCGAGAAATAACAAACTGAAACACCCTTCTTGTTGCGAGAGCTTGATACCGCCAGCAGACAGTCTTTGAAGCTTTTACTTCACTGTTCAATGTTTCCTTAAGGGCTTTAAAACCGATCGACATCATTTGAAGCGCTGTATAACAGTTTATAAGGAACTATAAGCTTAATTGTTATACCTCATTTGCAGTTAACAACAGGATTTCTATTGAGGTGTTCGCTGAAGCAGTACAAGGTAAGATCAAGTAGTATTATTTAGCATGATTTAGCGGATGAGCACCTTTCTTGAGCCGTTTTTGCTATAGCTGAAAGTCTCGTCAGTCACTGGAAACCTTCTTGATCTTCCTAGCTTAGCAACCGGACACGATCGATGTGCAAGGTTCAGACGCCGAACTTTTCATGAGCCGAACCTAATACTTTATTCAAATTGTCCTGCGTCATTAAATATTCAAGGTAGAAGACATCGACCCATTATTTCTAATACTTCGAGGTTGCATGAACGTCTGTGGTGTTTATCGCTCTTGATTGTCCTGAACTCACTAACTTTCCGCCGGTTCATCGACATACAATCCCGGTACGTTCTTCCGCTCGCTGATCAAAGCATATTTCAAGTGAACGCTTGAGAAGACACAAAAATATACATACACTTTATTCCCGTCAAATGCACTACTTCCACTCACTCCAACATTAGACTACAAAGTGGCTCCGTGCCTAACAACTCCTGTCTACTGAACACTACATCAATCCATAAATAAAGGAGGGTACTATTTTTTTGGCCAATTCTCAGTTAACTACTAATTTTGGTTAGCCATTAACTTTCACTTTCCTACAGGGAATATTATTCCGTCATAACCCGAATTTTTCTTTCTTCAGCAAGTCAATTACTTTTGGGGGTAGGCCCTACTAAAATCACGGTATAAATTTACATGAACTTTGCCACTAGTACAGTCTAACCTCTCCTTACAGACACCTCTCTATTACAGACAGTTCGTTTGGGCCCAGAAATGCCAAAAATCATTCCCTACCTCTATAATTGTCTGTAATCTATAATTGTTTGCTCTACCCAAAAAAGTAATTCTGAGTGACAGAGATTTCAAACCTCATGCTTTCGAAAGCGAGGAAGGGTACAAATTATTAGCTGTTGATCAGACCCTTCCTACAGTCTATAAAACTTGTTTGGTTCCACTCCTTTCTTAGTCCATTTTAGTTTCCTACCTTTTCCCAGCCTAAGACACTTTTAGTGGTTTTTGGCTATCAGACCCAGAATAGAGGCCCTCTTCGGAGGTGTACGTATGTCCCTTTATACTCTGAATTTTGCCATTTTATCTAGTCTTATGTTGCTGTTTGAAGGCCATGTGGCTTGTCGAAACGTTACCCTTAAAGGGCCTCAGAATAGTATAGCTAATTTTGCAGCACAAGAGGTCACTACTATAATACAAATCTTTGACATTTTACCCCTTTAATATAAAGAAACTAATTGTATTATAGCAATTATAGTAAACCATCGTCAAAATGATATTGTTTCTTTTGCGTGCTTATAGATCAAGCTATTGAAAGAGAGCTGAAGAGAAACATCATTGCAAGCACGTACAAAATGCAAAATTTTGGGGGCATTATTTGGTTTAGTCTCCTGCACATTATGCTGTCTCTTGCTGAAGACAATGAGGATGCAGATGTGATCAAGCACTGCGTGTCCACCAACTCAACATGTAGTTCCACCTATGCGCATGTCTACAAAAGCTTAACAGAGAATCAGAACAGCTTTAACATATCCCATGCCTTGTATCCTGACGGGGCAAAACCATCATTTCTTGTAAAAGTAAATGTTTATGGGCCCAATAAAACACACAACTCAGAACCAGCAAAGTTTACCTGGAGTATACACTGTCTGTATGCCAATGCTCCTGGTCCGCTGCTTGAAATGTTGTCTCTTGGGTCCATCCTTGTAACATTTCGAGAACAAGAGCTCAACATACAAATTCCTGCGTTTTGTTGCAATATCTCAGATGACGATGGGGAAAGGAAGAAAATGATAAAAGGTTTTCTTATAAGGGCACAATTTGAGGTAAGTGAATATTTTGAAGGAATATTATCTATTGATAGGTCGTATTCTAAGTGCACTGGCAGATCGAGGGGGAGAGACAGAGGGTTCCACACCAAAAACCACTTTTCAAATGATTTTACAGATTAAAGAATGTAAGTAAATACTACTTTCTCTCCGTAAACATGATCAAATGGATGTCATGGCAGTGTCGCGAGGCGAGAACGCCACATGAGAATTCATGACGGAAAAAATGCTATGTTTTGAATCCTTTAGTTTCAAATGAACATGTTTCCTAAGACTCTTTTGGCTTAAAATACTCGGTAAATTAACGGGCAAAATAACGAAACCTGCTTTAACATATTGAGGCGAATCGTGATTCGCCTTTCTTGCTGGAACATGAAGTATCGAAACTTTATCTTGAAGATTTAAAACCTTTTTATAAGCGTTTTCTCTTGCACTCAATCCCTCTGTGTACTAGTGTACATGTACATCCATTGAATGAAGATATCTCTGAAGCTAACAGTATTGGCACTTTTTTATATGCCCGCTTCTTCTAGAGATGGTAGGATAAGTCGCTTTCGATGTTTCCTTTTCCTTTATGTTGAAGTTCAAACCATTAAATTAGTGCGTTCCCCCCTAAAATGTGACAGCAAATTTCTCTCTGTATGTTAATATTGCCGTTTTCCTCCTGCTTGTGGAAAGTAACGTTTACAGGAAAGCAATAAGTTAAGAGTGTTGACTGTAGATTGCTTCGTCTCGTCTCACAGAAACATCAACTGGATAGTTGCTGGCGAGCCTTATGCGAGCCAGCAGACTGTTCTCTAAAAAAAGTCGGATATAAGGTAGGAAGCATGCGCAGTCCATACCAGGTTTTCTTATTATCCGGGATATTCACCCCTGTGTGATGGCATCACGTTAAACGCACATGGACGAGATCGAGAGATTTCGAGAAAATTTCCTTAGAGTAAGCAGATCATAATTGAGGTGAGCGTTTAGAAATCTTTTATTTTTATTTTTTAGAAGTCTTAATTTGCTTGTGAAAGTATTCATCAAGTTCTCGATTCAGAGCGTTTTAGTGATGAATCTCGAGGAAGAGGGGAGATTTATATGTGGCTGACTGCATTACTTGCGTATTTGTGAATAAATGGAGGTGCGAAGATGTCGATCAAATCCTCCTTCATGGAGATAGTTTTCTCTGTGTATTCAGCAGAAGTGATGTATCAGGCAAAACTTCTTTTGTTCGGAGTAAACTAGAAGAGGTAATGAAATACCATACAGAACAAAGCTAAAACTTAATTTACTTTGCGGGTCTTGAGAAAAAAAAAGTTACCGCTATATATTTTCTAAAAACACCGAAAGTTGTAGCCTGAATTTCAGACGATTACTTCGAGTCGTTTTTATTTCCTCAGTTACAAAAGTTGACCCTGCTGTCACTAGTTTCATAATTAAAAAGGGTAGAATGACAATAATTTTCGGAATTATCCGGTTATACCAAACAAGTCACGCCATTAGATTGTCATGTTACATTTTTGGAGGCAGATCAAGGATCATCAAAGGATTGGGGGAGTGCATTGTGGAAATGTCCCAGTTAAAACTAATGCCAATCTTTTCTTGTTTCGAAATGGTAACTTGCTTATTTTAATTTTTATTGATAATGGCGAAAGTCACGGTTATACAGCCCCGACTTAAAAATGCAGGGGGAAATAATACCTGACCCATACCTATCTTTCCAAGCCCAGGGAGTTGAACACCAAAGGTTTATCCATAATTTTAAAAGATATGGTAGAAATTGAGCGGCCTGTTCTCGGACACGTATCCCTATTCTCGGACGATCGTTCGTCGATGATAAATCCTGTTCATCATGTTAATATACGTCTTGTTGAAGGAAAACGAAGTAATATTAATAGTAAACAATCTCTTTTCCCGACTTAAAAAGGATTTTAAAGTCAGTTTTAGTGATTCCATCCTCGTGTATTAGTCGCAGACAAACAAGCGATGTTAAAAATATTTTGCCATTTAGGTAAGTTAATCCCGACGGCTCGCTGGGAAAAATAATTTTCTTCGCTCTTCTTTTATGAAACTGTTGTTGGACTTAAAAAATGTGTTTGGCTTTCGCGCTGTCCGACAATAGTTATACCTCACAAAAATATACCAAGTTTTTCCCGTGTTCTTTCTGGAAATTGTGAAACAGTGAACTCTTAATTCTTACTTGGAAGCAAACCTTGTTCCATTTTGAGTATAGGCGAGAACAGGGTGGAAACTGAAACGATCTAATTCGATATGCAGCGAAATACGAACTTTATTTGACAGAAACACAGTTTTACCTACCTTTACTGACAAGATCGATCTTCAAATTTCCCCCCCTAGACCCAACGACGATCAGTCCCAAAAGGAGTTAGCACAATTAGAATAACCAATCACTCAACGGAGCCTATCTTTGGTTTTTAGTTGTTAGAGTCCAGCAAGAAATGCAATGATTACGAAACATTTATGCGTACTGTCCGAGAATTGGTGCGTCCGAGAGATAGGCACACATACCGTTATGTTGGCATCGCCGCTTCCATAGCAACGGAATAACCATGACATGAAATCTATAAATTGCCGGGAATTTTCTCAAAATCTAGCGATAATCTGTTAAAGTCCTCTAGTTTGCGAATAATTCAGACCGTTGTCTTTACTTTGGCAAGATTTGACTGAAAAAAAATCGATGAGAGCGTTTTTGAAATATAACTTTCTAAAAATTTTGCATCCCCAAAGATGCCTTTTTCACTTTTGTTTCTCAATCCTCCGGCTCTAAAGTGATGATTTACAGTGCCGGTACAATCCAGATTTATATTCTTGGCTTAAGGTGCGGTTCAGTTCTTTCAGTAGTGAAAACTGGCAAGCAATCGCTCTTTCCTCTTTGCGATCACGTTCTTACTCATAAGATATTTTTGCTCATGCAACCGTAAAAGTTGTAATCTTTGGTTTTAAAGTCGCAGTTTAAAAAATTACTCAATGTATGTTTTTTAATCGGTTCTTTGAGAGTTTAATGATTGCTAAACATTTTGGTGAAATTTCAAAGCCATTGAAATTTTTGAAATGACATCGAATTCATGTTGAATCTTTGCTCCTGGCTTCGTAAAGGCCATTGTTTACTAGTTTCCTCGTTTGGCGTTATGACCGGTTATGTCTCTCGCTTGTTAGTTTCCGCATGTAAATTTGCAGGCGCGGAGCATGCGGGAACACGGGACACTGTTTCTTTCACGCTCGGAATGGTTGGTTTTCTTTAAGTTGTCAGTTGTTATGTAGATATCTGTCTCTTACACTGAACCTTCACCAAAAATGGTTTATATCATCTCTTGAAAATCTTTCTTCTATGCTGGAGGGTGGTACGACTAAGAGACATGCGCGTATTGGAAAGTGTCTATTGTTTTGAATTGTGTACGCACATTTGCGATTAATTCTTTTTTCAGTCTTTCTCCTCTGTGTACGTGTTCTCTTTCTGAGACTTCAAGAATAATTATGGTCGCGTGGTAACTACCAGGGGGGAAGGATGGGGGTACTCAACAAATGTTTATACGGGAAGGCGCCGCCTAGGGATCCAACCCCTTACCCTTTAAATACCATTTTTCATGAAAAAGGTACCCAGTTTCGTATACCTTCTATTGACAAATGGTACCCCTTTCACATATACCTTGTTTAGAACTTTGCAGTTTTAAGAACCAGAATTGAGAAGCGCAGTGCTTTGTAACAGCGTTTTATGACCCTTGGAACGGAATTCCCGATTAGGTCAAATACTGTCACACTTTATGTTTGGGGGGCGAAAGAATTGGGCGAGAGGTGCGTGAAAATAACGCTTATTGTTTCCTGCTTATAATGGCTAACTTGCTTGGAATGAGTTAGTATACAGCCCCGACTCAAAAATGGTACTCATTTTTCTTGTTACGAAAGTCTTCCAAAACGGTACAATGTTCAAATAAGTTTACGTTTAACTCTCGCATATGATGCTATGTCACGCAGTGGTCAGCGACAAGGTTATGTAGGGGCCTAAATGTGTACAGCCACGCCTCCCCCAGGAAAAATCGCGCTTGGCAGCCCAGTTACAATCGCCTTTTGGCGATTCTTGTTTACTCATTAGTTCTGGATAAACAGATTGATTCCAGATGTCTACATGCTGTCTTCAGCAATAACCATACCCTAGAGATGTAAAGGGGCAGATCATACAATAGAGCTTTTAAGAATACTGCACTTTGATCCCCCAAGGGGCAGGGCTGAAAGAATTTAGTTAGGGATTAAGAAAAAAAATGTTCAAATGCACCTTTAGAACCGGCTACAGGGAAATGGTTTTGTTGTCCTCTCTCTTCTTTAACTTGAAAGAGCTGTAAAGCACATGTATTTTTTTTGTTTACTCTACAGTTGCAGGATCTGGCTGATAGCCCTACCATTCGAAATCCATCACTGAATACAGCTGAGTGTGTTATACAGGGTCATAAACCTGACTTTGCAACAGGACGAAGTCATTACGTCAGAGCAATGTTATGGTTGTCTATGTGTTTTGTAATATTTAGTGGCCCTTTGTTGGCTAAAAATATAAGAGATATAGAAGACTTAAGTTTAGGAAATAGCAATTCTAAGAAGAAAAACAAATTTGAAGCTGTGTGTTTTTCTTTTTATTTCTTGTCAGTGTTCAGCAGTTTGCTTATCGTTGTTGCCTTTGCGCTTTCAATTACGTACTGGAAACTTGGGGGTACCTTTCACTTTACTGTCATAATAATAATTATTTTTGTTCTTAGTTCGCTAGAGTCCTTTTGTGTCATCAGGTGGTTCGAGTATGGTGACTCAAAGCTTTTATTTTTGTTAAAGATCTATGGAGGACATGCGATAAGCTATATACTCTGCTGGATTATAATTGGGATTAGGATAAATCCCACATGGGGGTTAACTATTGCTCTTCTTGTTTTCTCTTTTTCCGCTTCTGTCACTTATGCAAAGTACATTTACCTTGAAGAATTCCGCAATGGTAATTGCTACAGTACTGGCTGCTGTACTACTACCAATAGTTCTACCACTGGTATTACTTATAGTAACGGTAGTAATTCTAACAAAAATCCCACACAAGCCAAAGTCATTTGTGTAGCGTATTGTCTTGTTGTCCTGTTACTTTTTCTCGTAGTAATTTTTGCAGGACACTCAAGTAGTGGCAAGGAAATGGCTGTAGATGAAGTGCTTAAAGCCACCTCGTTGTACTTCATCACTGCATTTATCTCATGGGCTACATGGAAGAAGCATGTTTCGGTTGATGCTCTAAATATGATACTCGAAAATGTGGCCCAAGATCGAAATATGACCATCGGCACTGATGAGTAACCTTCGAAATACAAGGATTTGTATGGGGAAAATACGATTGTTTCTGTAACCTTCGAATGTGAGAGGATTTGAATAAAAATTGGCTAACCTTACCTAAGTTGTGTAAGTGAGGTTTTAGCCAACTTTTTTTCACATCGGCCTCTTCTCTCATTCGAAGGTTACAGAAACAATCGTATTTTCCCCATACAAAGCCTTGTAATTCGAAGGTTTGCTTTGAGCTTGGGCTTCCTGTGATGGCATCACAGTATCACATGGTATCACCACAGGTACCCCAAGCTCACGAGTGAAAATCATTATTAAGGTGGCTCGACTGCATTTTTTGGGGGGGATACCTCCCAAGTTTGAGCATTAATTACGTCGCCATGAGTAAAGATATGGAAAAAAAATCACCACAACTGTATTATGTAAAGATGAAAATTTCTTTTGATCTGGGTTTTTTTGCAATCGGAGTTGCCATGGCAACGTAACGACGCCATTACGTTTTTTATTCATCTTTGTGTTTCTCTGTACCAAGAGTTTTTTTAAGAAATCGCTTAAGGGAGTTTGTACCTTCCATGATTGCCCCAATTATGGCAAAGTTTGAACAAATTCTATGAGAGCGTTTTCGAGATATTTTGAAACGAAGTTTTAAGCATCATAAAAACAGTGAAATAGCATGCTATCCACTCAATTAGCTAAATTTTTAAGAAAATGATAAGCTTTGGAAACGCGGCTTCATCTCATAGAGGTTTGATTTCAATGAAAACTGCGTACAGAAAAAAAAGGAGAATTGTTCCGGGCGATCGCGAGTAAGAAGAATTTTAGTAACTTGCATTCAGCTGCTTTTGTTACAGTTTTTGCACGTTATTTGGTCAATGCCTACAACTTTCGCATTTTTCAGAAAACCGCTCGATAAATTTTTTTATAAATTTTGCAATCCCGAGATCAATCGTCTATAAATATACCCTGCAAGTTTTAAGAACATTGAAAACGGAGAAGGCTTTTAAATAGCGCCTCGAATATAACCAATTTTCCCCCAGATTTTGTGTTTACAAGTGAGCGTCCTCATTATTCACTGGCATTGTTTCCAAGTTTCATATGCACGTGCCCATTTAGCAAAAAGATAAAAATTTGCATCAAAAAGGACCCTCGGTTAAATCGCCCGAATATGCTAATAACCGGTTAAAGAAATTGGTGATATATTATAACATCACAGCAACTCTTTGTAAGAGTTTCTGTGACGTTATAACCCGAGCCCGAGTAACATAACTATTAAAGTATTACATCCTAACCGATGAGCCGTGACGTTCACCGTCTCGGCTCTCACTGCTATCTGTGACACAAGCCAATTATTAGCATATTCCGGATATTTCTTCCGAAAGTAATCGAGAGTTCTTTTTGATACAAATTTATTTCTTTTTGCTAAATGTGCACGTGCATATGAAACTTGGAAACAATGCTAGTGAATAATGAGGACGCTCACTTGTAAACACAAAACCTGGGGGGAAAATTTGTTATATTTGAGGCCCTATTTGAAAGCCTTCTCTGTTTTCAATGTTCTTGAAACTTGCAGGGTATATTTATTGGCAATTGATCTCGAGATTGTTAAATTTATAAAAAAATTTATCGAGCGGTTTTCTGAAAAATGCGAAAATTGTAGGCATGGACCAAATTACGCGCAAAAACTGTAACAAAAGCAGCTGAATGCAAGTTAATAGAATTCTTCTTACTCGCGATCGCCCGGAGCAATTCTCCTCTTTTTTCTGTACGCAGTTTTCAATGGAATCAAACCACTATGAGATGAAGCCGCGTTTCCAAAGCTTATCATTTTCTTAAAAAATTAGCTAATTGTGTGGATAGCATGCTATTTCACTGTTTTTATGATGCCTAAAACTTCGTTTCAAAATATCTCGAAAACGCTCTCATAGAATTTGTTCAAACTTTGCCATAATTGAGGCAATTATGGCAGGTACAAACTCCCTTAAGCGATTTCTTAAAAAAACTCTTGGTACAGAGAAACACAAAGATAAATGAAAAACGTAATGGCGTCGTTACGTTGCCATGGCGACTCCGATTGCAATAAAACCCAGATCAAAAGAAATTTTCATCTTTACATAATACAGTTGTGGTAATCTTTTTCCCATATCCTTACTCGTGGCGACGTAGTTAATGCTCAAACTCTGGAGGTATCCCCTCAAAAAAATCCAGTCGAGCCACCTTAAGTAACAGAAATAAAATAAGGGTTTGTATGGGAATTTTTAGCGATCATTATTTAGGCAGCTGTCAAGGGGTCAAAAATAGCAATAAAAATTTACCAGAACTCCTTACTTTGTCGTCTCGTTTTATTTATGGCTTTGGCCGTTTTAGTTCGATTCCAGTAAGTTCCATAGTCAGGGTTGTGCTTTTTGTAAGAGGTGCTTGTGGATTCATAACAGAGGACAAGAACGGAAAGAAAATTTTCGTACTGAGAGCAAAGATAGAACGTTATTCTGACTTCTTCTTCATTTGTCGAATGTTAGATGAAGATAAAGAGAAGGAGGAAGAGCATGTTTGATCTGCTTTGTGGATGAACGTGCGAAACAATAGGCGAATCTTAGTTTACATGTTTTGCCTCACTAATATATGTCTTCAATTCTATGATCAAGCTAATGAAATTAAACCAGTGAATAATGAAAGAGCATAACCAGAAAATTTCAGTTATCCGTGAAAATTTGAGCTCGATATAACGAAAAGTTTCGGAGAAATTACCTTTGAAAAACTCGAAACTTTACAAGGAATGTAATATCCAAGTGTGACAGTTTTCCGTAATTTGTTTTTCCTTTTGCGTACGCTAATTAGTTTATAGTTCATTTCGTCCTTTTGTTTAGTCTATTTGCGTGAATTTAGGTGTTTAGTTCCATGTATCAGCGTTCGCCCCCTCTTTAGCGTCTCATTGCTCTTTCATCTTCATTAGCGCCCTTTTAGTTTCGGCTTTAGTTTTCTTTTCCGCATGTTCTAGTGCATTTTTACATCGTAGTTCTGCAGTAAAATTCTCAGTTGGTTTAGGTCCGCACTAAGCGCAGTTCTCGTCAGTGCTTTTCCTCTAGTTTCTTTGCGTTTCTTCGTAGTCCGCTTTTACAGCAGTTTCTATCATGCCATAACAATATAAGTGTGCTTCAGTCCTCGCTTTGTTACAGTTTTCTAGCAGCTTGTAATTTTCTTTGCCCTTTTTACGCTTTTAGTTTCAACCCACGTCTCATCCACTTCCCATCCACGTTCCATCCACGTTTGTGTCAAGCACAGCTACGATATATCATCGTTTGTTCAGTGGACTTGTTTGTGGTGTTGTTATTTTGGCCTCGATAGTTATCGCCTACCGCAGTTTCAAAGAATGTAATTTCACGTGAATACGGTCTTGCGGTCGCGTTTGAAGTTCACGCTTGCATTGACTTTCTCATAGCCCGTTCCCGGTTTCCACAAGAAGGGTCTTCTGACTTGCAACTTGCAACTTCTGACTTCAGACTTTTCACCACTTCTTGTTTACTTCCTAGCTCAAAATAAACTCGTTTCCGCTGCTCGAGTGCGGGCATATTTTCTTGGAAATGGAGTCAATCTTGACGGACAACTTCAAAGTGAAAACTTCAAGGGGTGACAGGGCACGAGATCCTTATTGATGTGAAACATTTAAAAACCTTTTACATATTGCTTTAACGAGAAGAATATCTCTTTGAGAAATGGTACACGTGAAGTTACAATTGTACGATGAGTGGGTATTTGCTCGTTGCTATACCTCCTTTGTAGCGGGCAAAAAACGGCTCGGTCCAGTTAACATTCAGTGGAAGAAAAAGTTTAACTCCTTATGCAACAGAAAATTTGTATTCAGTTCGGTGTATTCCTGTTCAAGGCGCTGCCACTTTTCCTGCTTTTCGCAGTAAAAGCAATCAGTCTCCACAACCACTGTCAGTTTACGCAACTCCGTACGGCTGTGATTTACGCGATCTCAGAACACATTGTTCATCTATAAACAGCCTGCATTTTTAAAATAAATCTAGTTTTGACAGTGTTTTGGTATTTGCCACTCCTTTGGTAGAAGTATTATTTAAATACGATGACACTGTGTCTTCTGAATGCCGGTTTTCTGTCCAATCGCTTTATGTGACTGTGAGTTATAACGTGGGGAGTGGTGAAAAGTAGGAGGGTCAGAAGTCGGAAGTCGGAAGATCCTCGTCGGCTTTTGTAGGTTTCTGCTAGTTAGGTGGTCACTCGCGACTTACGCCGCTCGTATTCGCTTGTTTCGAGAGCTTCCCTCGCGTCTTCAGCGTTCACGCAGTCGACTTGTGGCAATTAAGTCTAACGCTTGCATGGCAGGAATGGCTTCCAGCAGTAACTCAAAAAGGTTTATTTTTGCCATTAAAAATTGTACATCCTCGCGTTTTAAGGCAAGAAATAGGGTTTTACAACCGCCTGCGATGTGTTATTTGCGTTTTTGAACTCGAATTAATGAATTGTTCATGTTTTTTTAGGCAATAGATGCAATTAGACTTGAAAAACAACATGGCTGCAAGAAAGAACGAACACCTTGCTAAAATTAGAAACCCTGGCAAGCTGAAACTGCAAACGCCTTTGCGGTTTACGGTTTGCGGATTCTCATGCAAAAGGTCTTTACTAAGCTGATGGAAATCCCTGTGGAAACTAGTTGAACTAAATTATCAGAGTCACTAGCAGAAGCTTCATTGTGCAAAAAAGAGAAATATTGCAGACGCCGTAAAGTTCGCATCCAAATTCTTGGTTCTAACAACTCAGTGTTTATACGTAAATCTCCCTACTGCTAACATTAATAACATTATTTTTCTTTCTTTTCGTTGGTTTATGTTAATTGCTCTTGTAAAAATAAGATTTTAATGATTACAATTTGCGTGAGATGTTATTATAATCAGTGTGTAGACGAACGATTATTACAATAATGCCGCAGCCTTTGTTACAAAATACGCAAGTTGTTACAAAATGCCCCAGAAACCTCGTTTCCAGCCTCGTCCCTACGGAGTCAGAGAGGGGAGAACCCTGGGAACGAGGTTCTCAGGCCTTTGGTGTAAACATTGGTGTAAACTTAGGTGTAAACAGCGCAACACCGCGGCAAAACGCAATGCGCATGAGCACAAAATTTAATATCCGGTCAGCTTTTTATTTCCGGTCTAGTATATAAACCAATAGCGAAAGCATAACTTTGCCGTCGCGCCAAGTTTAAAAGCAAAAAGGGCGAAACAGACAAAAAAGGGGGCCAAAAAAATCACTTCATTCGAAAGCTTATATATTTTTCTATTCTCAAACTTTTGCACCACATGATTATCTGTTTGCACCAACGGTGAAAATGATGTTTGAAGTCTGCAGGTCGCGAGCGCTCGACGAGACGAATTTGTTTTTACTGGCTTTCTTGCATGCTACTGGTTTGGCATAAGTTAATTTGGGAGAAGGCGACAACTAAGAAAAGAATAACAATACTTATGAAAGAAACCAAAATAAAGACGTCATCATTATCATAAAAAACACTAAAACCAGGAAATAAAATTTTAGTCCGTTCAATAATTTGTTTTATTATCAGAGAAAACAAGAACTCAAAACAAAAGATAGGCGGGATTTAATAACAACTTTGACTTTGATGACTGCAGTCTCACCGGGAAACTAAACATGCCTATAAATGACTTTCATTCAAGAAAATACCTATTTAATTCTTTTACATGGTTGTTCTTTTGTTGAAGACTTCAATAATTTCAGACTGTGCGGCTCGGCTGCATCTCATGCAAACACGAAACTTCTAGCTGCTAAATACATGGCATGAAAAGTTCGACTTCTAAAAGCCACTGAACCAGCTTTCGCTCTCTGATTCTGAGAATGGAAAAATAAATAAATAGAGTTGTCAACTTGCTGCCAACCGGCTCAACAGTATAATTAAGCTTATGTTTCATGGCAATCAACCCAGAAGAGTTTCGTTAGAAAACACGGTAAAACCCACTGGTAAACAAAACTACAAAGCGATTGTGTGTTGTCGTTTTCCAAATAAAGTTTGAATCGGCTTTAACACATGTAGACTGAGAAACTGAAGAACTGAAAATTAGAACTACAATACACAAGCTTGCAATGATAACGTTTTAATTTTATGTCTTAGTTTCAGCCAGGTTAAGTGAAAAATAACAGTCAAAAACTTTATTTTCGTGAATGAAAATCAGTTTACCTGACGCCAGGAGCCAAAATTACACACTGAGTTATTATCATCTTACCTTTTCTGAATCTAATCGACTAATTGTTTCAGTGATCTGTGCCTGGTTATCCATAAAAGCAATTTCAATAACTACAAAATAGTAAAAAACACGAGCAGCATAAAGCAGAACAACTCAACCACAAGCTGCACACCAGGGCGGATAAAGGTTGGGCGGTGAAACGAGCGCTCCGCTCTTCATTTAATGTGTGATGCGGAGTAGGACTGGCACGAGCGCTTTTTCCGCGCTTCCGGTGCGCTTGAAGGCCGGCGAAATTTTCCTTTTTGCAAACCGGAAATCCTATTTTCTTTCTGTAATTTCAGGCTACAATGTTAAATAGATAAATTCGTTTCATAACAATATCAATAAACAGTTTCATATGTTTGTGACTGTACGTCTATAGGTCAAACTTGTTGGTCGTATAATGCCAAAATTTGAGTTTAATTTGAAAGTGTTGAATACCTCCTCCTTCCACTAAATATCACCTAATCGTCTTTCACCGTTTCGTTTGCAAAAGCTTAACACTTCTTAACCTCAATTTTTAAATATGTTAAAGGGGGATAAATTTTATACAACATAACAAAAAATTAGATTGATATATATTGATATAGTGGCGTTGTACTTCTTCAAACTTTGCTTCTCGTTTGCAACGCGACATGGCGATTCGCGCAATGCGTTGCAAATCCGGCAACCGAATGTAAACAAAATTTATTGAGGTTAGTTGTAAGGTTTTTTCTCCGTTTTTCTCTCTAAAACAAAACAAGGTAAACAGTAAAAACTGAGGGGAAACTAATTTTGAAGTTTCGAAGAAACAGAAAGACGTATGAGAAGTTTTTTCAAAATTAAAAGAAGGATGATGGTGATTGAAATTAGCATAATTTCACCTTGCACGAGCTGCACGCATTTATAAAATATACGTCATCTAGTTATGAAACACGATCTGCTGTCTTTTAGTTTTGCCATGGATGACATGGATGAGATTTTCCTTTTGCTTTAGACAGTACTTAGTTGTTTTTGTTTTGGAATAACATCGACATTGGCGAGTAGCAGAACGAAAATATAATTCAGTGGTAGAGTCATGGAAGTAATAAAAGAAACCCTTTGAAAGAGATGTTTGTCTACTCCAACTAAACCTCCCGCAAAAAATAGCAACATTTGCCTCTCGGAGACAGCGTACCAGCACAAAGGAACGAGGAAGAAGTGCAAGAAAACAAATCAAGGCGCCATAATTCAGTGACAGCGGCAGTGTCTTATGTACAAACCACATCGCAAGCCCCGACCGAAGTCGAAGACAAGCAACATTTCTAAACATAGTCCCAGTCCACTGCATCACACCTTTTTGCTCGGACGCGCTCGTTTCACCGCCCTACCTTTATCCGCCCTGCTGCACACAGAATGAAGCGCGCGGGAGACTTTGACTGGAAAGTTTGACTGGAAAAAGGGACCGGAAATGCTCAACCTGGCGCATGCGTAGACGTTTTGCCGCGGTGTTAAACAGCGCACAGTGAACACCGCGGTAAAACGCACTGCGCATGAGCACAAAATTTAACATCCGGTCAGCTCTTTATTTCCGGTCTAGTATATAAACCAATTGCGCAAGCATAACATCGCCGTCGCGCCAAGTTTAAAAGCAAAAAGGGAGAAACAGACAAAAAAGGGGGCGAAAAAAATCACTTCATTCGAAAGCTTATATATTTTTCTAGTGTCAAACTTTTGTACCACATGGTTATCTGTTTGCACCAACGGTGAAAATGATGTTTGAAGTTTCCAGGTCGCGAGCGGTCGATAAGACGAATTTGTTTTTACTGGCTTTCTTGCATGCTACTGGTTTGGCATAAGAAGGCGATAACTAAGAAAAGGATGGCAATACTTATGAAAAAAACCCAAATAAAGACGTCATCATTATCATTAACACTAGAACCAGGAAATAAATTTTAGCCCGTTCAATATTTTTATTATTATTAGAGAAAACAAGAACTCAAAACAAAAGATGGGCGGGATTTAATAACACTGCTTCGACTTTGATGACTGCAGTCACGAACACCCGGAGCTTTCAGTGCCGGGAAACTAAACATGCCTATAAATGACTTTCATTCAAGAAAATGCCTATTTAATTCTTTTACATGGTTGTTCTTTGGTTGAAGACTTCAGTAATTTCAGACTGTGCGGCTCGGCTGCATCTCATGCAAACACGAAACTTCCAGCTGCTAGATACATGGCATGAAAATGTAAACCTCTAAAAGCCATCGAACCAGCTTTCGCTCTCTGATTCTGAGAATGAAAAAAATAAATAGAGTTGTCAACTTGCTGCCAACCTCAACAGTGTAATTAAGCTTATGTTTCATGGCAATCAACTCTTTAAACACGGTAAAACTCACTGGTAAATAAGACTACAAAGCGATTGTGTGTTGTCTTTTTCCAAATAAAGCTCTAATCGGCTTTAAGACATGAAGACTGAGAAATTGAAGAACTGAAAATCAGAACTACAATACACAAGCTTGCAATGATAACTTTTTATGTCTTAGTTTCAGCCGGGCTCAGTGAAAAATTACAGTCAAAAACTTTGTTTTCGTGAATGAAAATCAGTTTACCTGACGCTCTAGCCAAAATTAAACTCTGAGTTATTATCAACTTACCTTTTCTGAATTTAATCGACTAATTGTTTCAGTGATCTGTGCCTGGTTATCCATAAAAGCAATTTCAATAACTACAAAATAGTCAAAAACACGAGCAGCATGAAGCAGAACAACTGAACCTCAAACGCGCGCGGGAGACTTTGATCTGACTGGAAAGTGTGACTGAAAAAGAGACCGGAAATGCTCAAACTGGCGCATGCGTAGACGTTTTGCCGCGGTGTTCGCACAGCGCACCACAGCGCACTCGACTGCTTCGTTTACAATAAATGGATCAGCGTGCTAAACTCAAAGGAATTACTTCGAAGAAAGAGCGTCGATTATCTCAAAACGCAGACGTGCTAGGAGTGTGTCTCGTGGCAAAACATGCCGCTAGTACTGGACGCCACACAGGGCTGCGTACTGGAAGCGTAGTACGTGGTTTGTACGACTACTGCGAAAAGAAGATATTTTTAGTTACAAGCGAAAAGATCGTCCGAGAGGAAGAACTGGAAGACCTGAAGAGGAGAAAGAACGTGTTGAACGCGAGCGATTATACCTTGTACTTCTTATCAAGTAGTGATCCTCATTCGCACAGCGAGCCGCCAAAAACGTATCAGCTTCAGGATGTAACTAATCTGATTGACTCCGAGGAAAAAGTAATTTTCAATTCCGGTCTGGTAATCATTCCTATTGCTTCTGAGAAACTGAGTGAAAACTCTGGCCTAAAAAAATTTCGACCTTTTGCAGCCAGTACAGAAGTAGCCGAGCTAAAAGACCTAAACGATTCAATCTGTCAAATTGTAGAGGGAAGCACTAAAAGTATTGATGTGAAATCGTACAAGATCGAATTCATTGACAATGAATGTGCTCTATCTCTCCCAGAAAAGGAAACTACCCATCGTTATAAGAATTGGACAGAACTTACCGCAGGTGGGGCCATAACCAATCTTCACCCCTATGGAGCTGTCATCTTAAAGAGTGGACGTGCTGTTGCTGTTCTCAACTTCGTGGATGGTAAAATTTCTCCGGTGTGTCTATCAGAAGTGCAGTTCTCTGGTAAGTATGATACAAATGATGTAAAGAATATGACAATCTGCCCAAGCTGCTAGGAGGTAGGGCAGTACTTAGGGTGTAACTTATTGTGTCAATGAGGCCGTTTGCTGTTCCATTTTATTCTGTCTCATCCTCGGAGACCCAGGGGCAGTCAGTTGGGCCGGGAGAAAAGGCGTAATGAAAGTTTTTAAGCGCTGATGGAAGAGCCCTTGGGTACCGACTCTCACTGGACCATTTCCAAATGGTCAAGTGAGTGCTGGCTCCTGCTTGAACATAAAAAATGCTTTGTATTATTGTGAGTTCTTTTCGTGAGTTTGTACACGACGGCTATTATCTCACCACAGTTGCTGGGTTCGTTCTACCGATGAGTCGAAAAACGTTTCGGATGCTATCAGCAGGAGCAATTCAATTTGCACTGAGAAAATTCTGTTTTTGACAAATCACAATGTACTATAAATAATAGAAAGTTTAAGATGCGGCGGCCACGAGAAAGTAAAAAAAGCAATAGCTTGACAAGACAAAACAACAACTTTGCATGTGCATCACACTTTTTTGTACATTTCTTTGCCGTCACTGCACGACTACCACGTGAAAATGCCTAATTTCACGTTTTGTGAAGGACAAAAACAAGCAATGACAAAATTTTATTTCTCTTTTTGACTGGATATGGTTGATGGAAATTCAGCTCCAGAAGAGTTCGCTTGCATTTGACAAAGTAAGCGAGTTGGAATAATCATAATAGAGACTGAAAAAATGTGAATTCACTTTTCATGCGAAGTGGCTGTCAGTTGTTGTGTGATCTTAAACTCCCTAATATTTACGAAGGCATGATCGATGCAAGCGTGAATACCTATTGTAAGCTCAAGCTTGTATTTTTGGAAAAGTGTCTTTAGTTTTTGGGTAGACAATATTTTGAAATGGAGAGTTTGCATTTCTTTGGTGCATGAACCAGACAAGCCACAATTGAGTTAATAGCTGTCGTGTATGAACTCAC